GAGAAAGGCATAACTGCCACCAACAATTATGATGGAGAAAATAAATTCGATTCCACTTAACGGACAAGGTACACAATGAATTAGACTATAGCTTTTACACTCAAACTCTCTTGTTTCCTTACTTTCAAACTGACTAACTTAAGTATCAGAGAGTTCCCTAGCTGCCCACCAGTGGGGTTCTTTGGTTTTTTGAGTATTTTTCAAATCAAGTGCCACCAAGTTCACGTTAGAGCATTACCTCAATTGGCGTGGTTCAAATTTTATTATTTTTTTTATTTTTAGTTATGACATATATTACAATTAACGACATCAACATCATAATTTATATATAGTTGTTGGCTTTTTTGGCTTTCGAAGGTTAATTGTATAATTCAAAGCGTGTCAGCAAGGATCAATAAGTCCTTACAAAATTTTAATTGCCAACCAATTATCAGACGATTGTGTTGAAGTTTTTTCAGCCTCAATGAAGAAGACTTTTACTAGTGGCTTGTTTAGGAGAAACTTGTAAATGATCACAGATATAAAATAATTCAAAAACTGAATTTCATTAAGTAAATGAGAACTTACAATGAAATGACCCAACCTTGAAAAGGTTTACAACAACGACTACTTGAAATTACTCCTAGAAAACGAAGCGTAGTACAGGAATTAAAGAACTTGAAAGAAAAATATGAAGTAAACAATTGGTTTTTAGATCTGAGTCTGGGTCCCTCTTCTGTTGGCCTTCTCTTCTATTTATACTCTCCAATGGTCTCGTCGAAGTGGACTTCTAACCGTCGAAATGCCCTTCCACGATCATTAGTTATGGCCCTGAACCATCCGCTCCCACGATGCCTTTCTTGCAGTTAGGCTTCACTCTTGAATTTGAATTTGAATTGTGAGTAACCGTTGGGCCACGTCACCTTGCGCCTTCTAACTGCTTTCATGCGACGCAGACCCACCATTACCAATATGAACTGCCACATGTCTGTCGCTGATTGGAGACTTGCATTAACTCTCCAAATCACTCTTTACGTGCCATGTGTTAAGTTGCGATAGGCCTATACAAAATATATAGCCAACAATAGTACACTCCTTTTTATACTATAGAAGGACAATAGTACACCCCTTTTTATACTATAAAAAGACCCAAAGAAACGTAGAAACTTTCACTTGGAATACAGAATCCAATTCTCGTAACTTTTGTTTTCTTAAAAATCCTATTAATAGTTTCTAATTTATGATTGTGGGATTTTAAATAACACAAATGTTGATATCAAGGACTGTACTTGTGGTTGAGGCGTTCTTCTTTTCAAATAATATAAGTATGAATATAAGTATGAATCAGACTTATCCATCTAGATTTTTTTTGAATGGATAGTTGTGTAGTGGAGGGTTTATTTAAGTCTTATTACACTACAAGAAAAATGAGTTCTGGCGACACAATATTTAACGACGTTTTTTAAACGTCGCTTTTTTTAAATCAAAACAGCACCATTTCAATAACCAGAGGCGTTTGAAAATGCCTTCAAATGTCCTATCTCTCTCTCTCTTAAAAATGGGCGAGCAATGAATATAAAATATAATACATATTTTGTAGCCCTAAAATCTCACTCACTCTCTCTCTCTCTCTCTCTCTCTAAACTGTCTGAACGTATCGATTCATCTCTCGCCGTAGCCCTAATCGAAGTTCTCTCTCTCGATTCATCTCTAAACCATTATCATTCTCACAGATTCGTCTTTGAGATTCAAAGCGATTTCGATTTCGAAGCTCCACCTCCACCACCGTTTGCACCGGCTCGATTTCTCTGATTTCGATTTCATCTGACTCTGTAATTTCGATTTCAATTTCAAAGCTCCACTGCCACCGCCATCTGCACCAGTGAGGTATCTCTCTCTCTCTCTCTCTCTCTCTCGCTCTTCCTTCCCGTCTCTCTCGATTTGGTTATTGAAATTGAAATTGTAAGCAAGAAACTACAAGTTGATTTGTGGTTTTCTTCTTTTCTTTACTCTCTGCTTCGTTGAACTAGATTTAAGTATTTGCTTCAAGTCTGGATGTGTGTGAAAGAGAGAGAGAGGAGAAGGAGGAGGAGGAGGCGGAGGAGTTGATTTGTGTCTAAACACATCGTTTTCTGGTCTGTTATGTTGAAAAAGTTGAAAGATCTCTGAATATATACTTACCCATACATATATTTACTTTCCTTTTTCAAGATTCTCTTTAGCTTGAGGTACAGATCTCCAATGTCTTCACTTTCTCTACCTTCAAATCTTGTGTGTATGTATATTTGGATTTATTTGTGTATATTACATGTTTGTTTATATGCCAAGCTCAAGTTGAAGTTCTCCATTTCTTGTTCTCTGTTAGATTTCTATTTTTTGCCCCTTTTTTTCCTGGGTTTTAGACATAAATACGAAACTATAAACAAACATTTCCAATGATAAGGATCGCCTTTAAACTATATTTTGTGGGGCTTTTTTACTCCTGTCCAAGCCATGGAAGAGACTACCATGCTTTGTATTTACTCGGATTTTAGATTCCACTAATGCTTTTGATGTCTAATTTTTTTATTCACCTGGTGAATCTTTAACTTCTCCTGTAGCCCTAGTACTTGTTAAGAATGGTAATTTTTTTAAATTGAATATTGTATTCTCTTGGGTGCTTAATTTTTTATTCACTTGGTAAATCTGTTAAATGTGTGTTGTAGCACTAGCATTGAGTGGTAATTTTTTAAATTGAATATTGCTTTCTCTTGGGTGCTTAATTTTTTATTCACTTGGTAAATCTGTTAAAGGTGTGTTGCAGCACTAGCATTGAGTGGTAATTTTTTAAATTGAAGATTGCTTGCTCCCTTGATTTGCACACATAGTTTTTTATAGCAATGCTAGGTTTGACTGTTCTTAAAATATTTGTAACATGTATTCAGTTTCTTGGTCTATGTTTCGGAAAAACTTTGGAATGGGTCTCCCCAGAATTTTGAAAAACAATAAGTTAATTGGTCCAATTCCCTCAGCCTTGTCCCAAATTCCAAATTTAAAACTCTTGTAAGTCCTCTTTCTCCATTCTCTTCTGATTTAATTTCTATCTAATTTTAGAATGATGACTGAGATGCATATGTTTCAATATATGTATTCTAGAGACCTTGCACAGAATACACTGAGTGGGGAAATACCTAGGCTTATATACTAGAATGATGTTTTGTAATATCTATGAGTAGACTTCTCCTTCCATTTTCTTAGTTATCTTTTCCATATTGGCATTTTTATGATTTCCTATGTTTTTTACATTGTGAGTCGAAATTCTTACGAATTTGTGCCTATGTATGTTTTTATTCTTAACGTAAAACAGGTTTGCGAGGGAACAATTTGGTTGGTACTCTCTCTCCTGACATGTGTCAGCTGACAAGGTTGTTGTACTTGTAAGTTATTGATCACTTCATTCTATTTCTTATTGCTCCTTGTGTTTTTTGTATCTTGGGTCATCTTGTGATATATTTTACCATTTTGCTTCAACATGCAGTGATGTAAGAAATAATAGTTTGATTGGTAGCATCCCTCAGAACATAGGCAACTACACCGCCTTCCAGGTCTTGTATGTATACCATCTAATGCAATTGCGCCAAATTCTGGATAAACGCTGCTATGTCTAGTCCAAGAATGTTTAATCTCTTTTGATTGGTAGGGACTTGTCTTACAATCAGCTGACTAGAGAGATTACTTTTAATATCATATTCTTGCAAGTCGCTACATTGTATGTGTATAGAAGTCTAGTGATTTAATTTCTTATGACTTATTTACTTAAAAAATTGCTCTGAATTTTATTTTGCATGCTAGATCTTTGCAAGTTAATCAACTCTCAGGACAAATCCCATCGGTGATTGGCTTGATGCAGGCACTTGCTGTGTTGTAAGTGCTTTAATTTTGCTGTTTCCTCAATCTGGTATTTTTCACAAAATTGAATTTATTTGAGAGGACCTTTATGGAGTTTTACTACTAACTCAACAGAGCCAGTGTTCAATGTTTTGTTTTTCTTATAACTGTGTCGTTATCCTGATTTTGATCCAGGGATTTAAGCTGCAACATCCTAAGTGGACCTATCCCTCATATTCTAGGAAATTTGACCTACACGGAGAAATTGTGAGTATTTTCTTTGTAATTCTTTCAATTTCCTTCTTTTTCTTGATCGATTTACATTTCAAAGATGCATACGTCATTTTGAAAATAGCTGATAGTCTTTAGCTACATATGACAAACTGCTGAATTGCCGTTAAACTTCCATTCATCAATTTATATTTGTATTAATTTAATGTGAATAACAAACAAGATCATTACATTACATGATACTTAAAATGTATATTCTCAGGTGCTATTGTGACCTCGTTTCTTGCTCAAAATTTAAGACCATTTGACCATCCCTCTTGGATGATGCAGTTTTAGAGAGGATCTTTTGATTACGCAGAAAATTTTGTCGAACGAGTCCCTTTCTTTTAATAGGACTGATTGGTAAGTGCCACCTCAAATCATTTGTTATGGTGGATCTATTATTAATGTAGTTTATTTATGGACTCTTACCTCCCCCCCAAAAAAAAAAGGAAAAAAAAAAAGATAGCAGTTTTTGTATGGATGTATGTTTATCATGTTTTGTCTAAGAGTAGTTGCGCTGTGTTTCTTTCGGATCATTGCACAGCTTCTTTTAGAATGGCTTATTCCGTTTGTTGCTCTTGATGTGAGAAGGTATGCTTCCATCACAGTGAATTGATTTTCCTGGAATAAAGTCAACTTTGGGGGCTTTGAGAAAGAACAACTTTTTGATTGAATATTCTGCTGAAAATCTTAGTCATATGAGTCTGGGCTGTGAGTTTTCTAGTTAGTTCCTTTTGGGTAATCTATGACATTTTGAAGACCAATTTCACGTAATTCTGTCTTAGGGGTACGCCTTCTTTGTTTTTTTATGATGTCCATTTTTTATGATAAGATCTAGTTTCTTGCTAAGAAAAACAGAAAAAAAAAAAAAAAAAAGATTTTCTGATTGATTTCAACTCAAGTCTCTGAAGTGAATATCCAGCCTTTGGTTCCATGTTTTTCTATATTTACTTCATATTCCCTGAACCATCTATGTGAACATTTTAACATAAATGCAAATTGGAAAAGGGAAAAATTAAATGTAAAAATCCATATTCTCTGCCTTGTCCATGACTTATTCTTTTCCTTGTCCATGACTTATTAAAAATCCATATGCTTGTGAGAATATTTTACAGCAGCATCCAGATAACTGATTTTAGATTTTCCATATAATTAACCCCTCTAGATAATAGAAAAATATCTCCTTATGGTTTTCTGATGGTAAATTTGAGAATGAAGTTTTGAGACTTGATCTCTCAGCTGCAAGCTGTAAAAATTGCACTCAAATTTGTTTGGCAACTTGTTCTCAAACACTCCATCACTGCTATCTACAAGCAATCCTATAGGATTTGGTCAAACAACTATAAGTCACTCTTAAAACTCATAATTAAGTTTCTCTATGTGGCAATGTTTAAGTAGTTGATATTTTAGGGGTGATAGTTGGAACCTAGGTTGCTTGCATGGGCATGATGTATGATGTACTGGATTCAGAAAATTGATAAGTTTTGATATGTGGACATGTTGGTATTTCCAACTAATGTAGTGTCTAAGTACAGTATCTATAAAATGTTTTAGCGCATATTTTTGCACTCCACATATGCCAATATGCACCATGTGGGAAAAATGGCTTTCCATCTTCATTGATTTTCATTTAAAAATTTCTTAGAAATTGTACTGTGTACTTCATAGATGAAAATTGTTAATCTCCATGCAAAGGAAACTTCTTACATGAAGCTGTAGAGTGACACTTGCCTGAACATGTCTGATATTGTTACATTATAATTTATAGGCATCTCATTGTTGTTTGTTCTTAAGAATCTGATTTCTTCGTGTTTTAATTTTTGAGACCTCTATGTTCTTTTGTCAATATGGATTTAATTTCTTCTCTTCTTCAGCCCTCACTTTCAACACCTTTCCACTCTGTTCAACCTGCTCAGACAACAGGTTCTTTTGGGTTTGGGAACTTTGGTCAAACACAAGCAGGTACTTGGTGCATTTAGTCTTTAACTACCTTTTTTGTAAATCTTCAATATTTTTATGGCTGATTTCCCCCTGCCCCCTTTTTTCTTTGGTGCCTTAATATAGCTGGTACAAGTGGTTTTGGAGGCATGCCAAGCATTTTTGGTCAGAGTACTTTTGAACAATCGTACGTTCTTCCCTTTTTTGTTTTGTGGTCATGGACAATTCCTTTTTTTCATATGCGCACATGACCATCATAATTAATTGCACATTGAAGTCTGTTAATTTCTTGTCCTTCCTAGAAGATTAAATCTCCCTGACCTTCTCCTTTTTTAAAATCAACCCATTCACCACAGGAGAAATTATACCATTTATACTTAACTTTTCAATTCTTACACCATGCTATCGAGTCTGGTAGCATTCATTTTGACGTTTAAGCATATTAAACTTGTGATGCAATCCAGTGGAGAATTTCACAGATCTAGGAAATCAAATTTTAAGTGTTATTTGATTTACTGCTTAGACATCTGTCACTACAACACTATAATTGGACCTTTAAAACAAGCCAGAGAAAAGTGATCAATTAAAGCAGAGGGAAGCAGAGATAGAGAGAAAAAAAAGGTAATGTTTGAAGAAGGAAGAAATTGTTCATTTTATAATTGAAAAGTTAAAATCCTAAAATGTTGAACTAAAGAAATAATGTACAAACAGTGTTACGAAAACTTTAAAATTGATGTTTACATTTAAGTAGTAAAATTTAGCAAGAATTCAATAGTTTGATATTGGAAGGACTTTTTATAACATGTGTTCACATTCTCACTCATTGATGGATATGATTACGTTGTAATAGTAATTTGAAGGACCTTTGAAAACCCATATGATGGACGGCCAAGAAAAAGGAAAAAAAGGAATGTAGGTGTTTGGCAGATGCTGTTGTTTTTGTTGTACTACATGTATAACATTTGAGTTCTTGGATTTGTGATTCAAAACTCCATCTTCAAATCCCCCTTTTCTCTCATTTCTTATCTGTTTATATATATATATATATATATGTATGGTTTGATTTGTGTTCTCATTCTCAGATTGCATCTTATAGGGGTTCGGTTTGATCTTGTTCTTTTCCTCGCAATTTCAATCCGGGTCAAGAAAAATTGGCTATGGTAAAAACCTTATTGTTCTGATTGATGGAACTTGATTTAGATTTAATTTATTACTGTGGATTTGGGTTTTTCATTATTTGATTTAATTTGCTGGTTCTGTTATGTTATTTGTTTATTTTTCACTTTTGTTCCACAAGTTTGGTCATAAAAGAGAGATCTTCCTTTTACAATTTCGACCAGTGTTTTTGGTGTCTTGTATCAAATAAAATGAACTTGAGATTTCAATGACATTGTTTGGTATTGTTTGGTTTTGCTAATTTGGAATATGATTTTCATAATTTTGCTTATGTTTGGTGTTTCATGGAATGAAATGGGCTATAATTGCTTTTAATTTTGCTTATGTTTGGTGTTTCATAATTTTGTGTTTTAGGCATATATAAGGAAACTTTGTTCATAAGGCTTGATAGAACTAGAGTTTGTCATAGTTTTATGTATATCATTTCACACCTGGATTCAATTAGCAAAGATTCTGAAGAAGCAAAAAAATAGCAAGGGGAGCTTAATGTGTATTTTGCTGGGAAATAATTTGAGAGAAGTGAGTGGATCTGTAAGTGACACTGAAAAAACTTGAATGGTGTAGACTGTATTGTTTTAGACTAGCACAATACATTGATCTATAAGTGAGTGGATGTATACATATTACCCCTACTCTCTTTGTTGTGTCATGCCTAGTATCTAATCTTTTATTAAATGTCTTGTTTCTCAAATAATATTGTCATTTTCTACAAGTGCACATCTTGAGTTTTAGATCACTTTTTTGTTTTATTATTAAATTATTCTATCTTAAGAAAGTTTGAAATCATTCATGCCTTGATGATTTATTTTGGCTTCTACAAGGGTATTAATATCTTTTGTAGCTTTATACTATTTTTGCATAAGAGTATCCTTATTGTATGATTTTTAACCCTCAGGATAAAAGATGGAAATGCTGAAACACTCTATCCTAGATCATCCTTTGCCATTAATTGTATTGGTAAAGGTTTACTTACATACATTTCTTTTGAGTGCACTATTTTTGTTCACTTCAAGGTGGTTTTGAAAATTTGAAGCTTCTTTGATTCTCTTTTCAGGTGATGTCTGCAAAGGAGATGTTGTTTTGTTTACACAGAAAGTATACAAGAAGTAACTCACTGGTTTCAGCTCTTGTTTTCCTTCTGTATATGAATCTCTTGATTTCCACCGTAGTTTGTAAATCATATTTGCTCGATAAATGAAGGAGCTAATTCCGAATAGGTTTATATCCAAGTAGGTTTGGAAAGAGAACTATTGCTGGGAGAGTTGTTAAGGAAAGCTATGGTGCTGCCAATCAACAACATACATTTACAGTAAGTTTGGGACATGTGTAGTGATGACTCGCTCAATTACTCATGCCTCTCTTTTGCTAATGAAATCAATAATCTAGTATTTTTTTCCTTTTCAATTTCCTTGAGTTAAACATTGTCATAGTTCATCCCTGTGATAAATTTAGGAAATTTATCACAGGGATAATATTTATAAGTTTTTTTGCACAAAAATTCAGGATCTCCCTCTGTTTTGTCTTTATTAGAAGTTATTATTCTTCCGCTATTTCTGTGGGTCACCTATTATTTCCTAACTAGTGACAAATGGTAGATGTCTCCAATTGAGGTTAGAGGATTAACACAAGTTGTGTAAGAAGGTAACTATTGATCATAAATCTAGAGATACTTTCTAAGTAGAGCAACCATATTTTTATGTGGATTCAATCTACCCCCAGTACTGTCACTACAAATCTACTACTGTTCTAGATGCCAGATTTTTACCATCTACCTTATCTTTTCTACTTTCACATAGGGATTAACCTGATGAAATGATGTCCTGACTGAACATATTCTATGTAAAAGCATGAGGTGACATTGGATGAAATTTCAACATTATGTTGCTTGAAAGATGGATACCCTTGTTATGGTTATAATATTGTTATGTTCACACTATTTATCCTTGTTTCTATGATCGGTAAAATACATCCTTTTCAGACTTTGATTATGATATATGTATTACTATTGTTCAGTGAACTGACTGAAATGTTAAAACTATTTGCAGACACACTTGGGGATCCAAATATTCAAGTTTTGTTTCAAATGCACTAATTACTCTGTTGAGTTAACAATAAAGACCGACCCGCAAAATTCAGACTATGTTGTTGAGTTGGGTGCATCACGAAATTTCGAACCTTGGCGTGCAAAGGATGAGGTATTAAGTTAGCATGCCATATACAGCTTTCTATTTCATCTTTAGATCTCCTTATTTTGTTGCAATCGTGAATTGATTTTGGCTTCTTATATAATTTGTACATTGCTCTCTTTGTCAGGAAGCAGATAAGGAAAAACAAAAAAGAGAAACTGAAGAGATGGGAGATGCAATGAAATCCTTGGAGAATAGAACCTTAGATTCAAAAAAAGAGATGGACATCCTTGCTGCCCTTGGATGAAGTGAAGTCCATGAGGGTACTTGCTTAGTCAAATAACTAATACGTAGTGAACATATTAAACATATATTAAGGGGGTATGTTGATAATCAATATATAAAAAATCTGGGGGTTCAGGGAGGGGATGCCCTATTTCCGACCTTGACCAGATTAGTTTTATTAATCCCCAACCTCGATTAACCCCAACTCATACCCAATAGAGTCAGGTAGGGCCGAGGCTGGAATTCTAGATGTATTGAGAATAACTTAATGATTCAGCTACTCAATTCATGGCCTTATTAACTTCATAGGTTGGTAAACTTATTTTGGGTTAAAATGTCAATTTGCCTGACATATGGGATCATTAGTCGAGTGTATGAAAGTTTGTTGTTTTATTCATTTTACTCAGATGTGAACTTGAATTTATATTTTAAGCATACTAAAACAAGTCTTCTTTCTGCTTTTTTAGTCAAGACAAGCAACTATCTGTGTAGATGCAATGCTGGAGATCTTGCAGCGCTCAGCTGAGGAAAAGGTAAGGTCATTTATGCTAGTTCATTATTTCAACCTTTTGGGTGTAAATGCATTTTGTGTAGGCCTTGAACAATGAAGCCGAATTGCCATTTTGGTCACTTTTGTGATGTACTAGATTTATGTGAATGGCAGCAGCAGTATCTATTGTGGGATTGAATTTATGTTTAGCTGGCAATACTATTTTATACCTGCAAAACTGCCTAAAGTAAGCATGTAGTTTGACCTTTTTTTTGGATGGGCTGCATTCAAGTAATCTTCTACTCACTTTTGAACATAATAGGTTTTGATTCAGGTTGCCTCCTTAACTCATTGAACTGAAAATTAACACAAGTAATAAGTTCTAGATATATATATATATATATTAAAGTCTTTGAATGTCTATTTTTCTTCTTTTGAGATAAGCTAGTTAAATGGCTGGTTTGGCATGCCTACCTAAAATCTGTTCAGTGTTAAGGCTAGGCACTGGCTGTATTGATCTGACGAGAATTTGATAGGGCTCAAATTCAAAAGCAAACTATAATTTTGCTGGAATTTGAGCTTCAGTAATTCTATACGTTAAATTGTTGGACCAATTGATGTCATAACAAATCATCCAAAGGTATAGCTATTTGACCACATCATAGCTGCAGTGTGAATTTGTCAAGGCAACATAGGAACTCAAAACATGTGAATTTGAATACTATTTTATCACCATCAGTTCTTACTAAGTCCTGGGATTTTTTTCTTATCAACAGGAAAAGAAGTTGGAAGAAGAGGATGAAGCCTTCAACTTGCTTCCCAGTGCTGTAAATTGCTTCCCAGTGCTTTAAAGAGTACATGATTGATTTTGCAATTGTGTTTGAGAGGGAGATTTATGAGCTGAATTGGGCCGTGGTAATGGTCGGGCAAATTGTGGGCCGAACACAATTGGGTCGTTGTAGCTTGGGCCTGTCTGCAAGGGTTTTGCTTGGTTAAGGCACAGGGCATGTGGGATCGAGCTACTTGGCTTGTTGGTGCCGAAGCCGGTCTACTGGGAGTTCAGCCGAGATGTCTGCCTGTCTCCATGGGTTTCACGGTTCATGCGTTAGCTCGGCAGGAAGACCGATGGCTAACCGGCTCGACCTACCTCGAGCTCAACTTGCCGGAATGCAGCCGAGTTCAATTGTGCAGGAGCTCGGCGAATGGTTCATTAACGTATGCCGTGCAGCGCGGTCAGGAGAAACCGAGGAGGTTCCGTCGGTCTGCCGAGCTCCGCCGAGGTATCCTAACAGTTTGGTTAGGTGGTGATTGCTGGATTTGTGCTGACAAATGGGATAACAGCACCGCGTGTCGAGAGACTAATGGGAGCAGATTTGGGGCACAGAAAGTATATAAGCGAGTCTGCGCCCCCCATGCCTAGACAGATGCCAATTTGGTGAGAAAAACACTAAACACTCTCTCCTCTCTCTCTCTCTCTCTCTCTATCCCTGTATGTGTGTCTAACTTGATCGTCAGAGGGGTTTTCCCGGCCACACACTGCCGGGTAGCTCACCGCCGTTGTGCTCGCAGGTCGATCGGACAGACAGGAGCTTGGAAGAAAGGAGTGCGGGCTTGCCTGAATATTTGCTCCCCGCACAATTGGCGCTGTTTGTGGGAACTTTGAAAGACAAAACCTTGTCTTCCAAGCTCATCTGATCGCCGTCCATGGCGAACAACGACGAGATTCCGTTGTCTGCCATCGACGGAGTTACCTCGGAGTCAGGCAGACGGAGAGAAGGACATCCCGCCATTCTTTCTATGGCGAACCTGGAAACTTCTCCAGGAGGACATTCAAGAGATGCGTGAGATGAGCGCGGAAGAATCTTTGGACATTCACGGAGTCCAGACGGTCACCGACGGCGGAGAGAATCGCACGCCAGGTGACTAGAGCACAAGCTAAGGGACCAAGACGCCGTCATCTGGGGAATGGCGACGGAGATGGAGGATCTTAAGCGACATGTCAAAGGGAAGGGTGTAGCTGGTGTGGGAGACCACAGTGAGCACACCCAACCCCGCCGTTCATGCAGTCAAAGCCAGCGGCGTACTCGGTCCATCTCAATCACTAGAAGTTACAAAGTTGGAGATTCCGACGCGCACGTAGTGAAGTCCCGCGCACAAGATAGCACCTATCAACCCTCACGTTCGGCGACGACGTCGACGTATTCTTATTCCGCTCGTTCAAAGGATTTGCGGGTTGTCTTGAAGGAACGGGCTCGCCGGGGGGAGGCTCAGAGGGTGCCGGCGTTCCAGCTGCTATCCTATGGGGTTCACGCTAGTGAAGAGGTCGGAATGCCTCCACCTCGCCTAGCTGCGCCTCTCCTTCTAGACACAGACTTGGCAAGTCTGAGTGCCACCCCTTTCTCCGTGGAGATAGAAACAACACCGCTTCCCGCGGGCTTCCACCAGCCTAAGTTCACACTCTACGACGGAAAAACTAATCCCTTTATGCATGTAAGCCACTTCCAACAGGTCATGGCCGGATATAGGCGGAATGACGCTCTTATGTGCCTTATCTTCCCGTCAAGTTTGGGCGTGCTGGGCTTGAAATGGTTTGAGAGGCTGCTGGAGGGGAGCATAGAAAGGTGGCAGTAGTTGGCCAAAGCCTTTGTGACGCGCTTCAAAACCAACACCAAAACGCCAAAGGAAGTTGACCACCTTCTCAGTGTCAAGATGGAGCCGAGCGACACACTGAAGGCATACAACTCCAAATATTGGAAAACCTTCAACGAGATCTTGGATTGCCCGGTCAACCTGGCAATCACCCAATACAAACGCGGTCTCCTGGTCGGATATAGGCTGAGGGACTCGCTTACAATGAACCAGCTGCCATCCATGGGGCAACTAATGTAGCGCATCAATGAGCACATCCGAGTAGAGGATTATGCAGCGGCGTCCACCGCGAAGACAACCCCGGTGGCAACAGACAAAAAGGCCTTACAAGATAACCGGTCTGGCGGGTAAGGGGCATACCACTTAGAAGATTTGGATGGCAAAGGTGTACCCCGGCCATGGAATGCGGCTAACCTCAAACTATTATATTCTTATCGTTCTTAAGTAATTTTTTGAGGAAGAACTTGTTTCCCCTACACTTCTGAATGTGATACTCTTTTTGTCAATGTAATAAAAATGAATTACTTTTGTTGAAGAACTTTTCTGATTCAACCGAGATGATTTACTCCGGCCAAATGAGTTGATGATTAGCTCAACTCTGAAGTTTCAGCCGAGATGATGTACTCCGGCTAAATGAGTTGATGATTTGCTCAACTCTGAATTTTCAGCCGAGATGATTTACTCTGGCCAAATGAGTTGATGATTTGCTCAACTCTGAAGATTCAGTCGAGATGATGCACTCCGGCCAAATGAGTTTATAATTTGCTCAACTCTGAAGTTTCAGCCGAGATGATTTACTTCGGCCAAATGAGTTGATGATTTGCTCAACTCTGACGTTTCAGCCGAGATGATTTACTCCGGCCAAATGAGTTAATGATTTGCTCAACTCTGAAGATTCAGCCGACATGATTTACTCCGGCCAAATGAGTTGATGATTTGCTCAACTCTGAAGTTTCAGCCGAGATGATTTACTCCGGCCAAAAGAGTTGATGATTTGCTCAACTCTAAAGATTCAGCCGAGATGATTTACTCCGGCCAAATGAGTTGATGCTTTGCTCAACTCTGAAGATTCAGCCGACTCTGAAGATTCAGCCGAGATGATTGACTCTGGCCAAATGAGTTGATAATTTGCTCAACTCTAAAGATTCAGCTGAGATGATATACTCTGGCCAAATGAGTTGATTATTTGCTCAACTCTGAAGTTTCAACCGAGATGATGTACTCCGGCCAAATGAGTAGATGATTTGCTCAACTCTAAAGTTTCAGCCGAGATGATTTACTTCGGCCAAATGAGTTGATGATTTGCTCAACTCTGAAGATTCAGCCGAGATGATTTACTCCGGTCAAATGAGTTGACGATTTGCTCAACTTAGAAGATTCAGGCAAGATGATTAACTCCGGCCAAATGAGTTGATAATTTGCTCAACTCAAGGCTCTAGCCGAGATGCTCTATCCCGGTGGGAAGCTCAGAGGATGGCAGTGCGAACAACCGTGGAAGAGATCTAGGGAGTTTGGTTTTGGAAGTCGTCAGTCAGAAGGCCGAGGAAAAGGGGCAATTGACAATCATTTTGGTGGAAAGACCAGAGTTCCTTGCCGAGCTGATCTTGCTTGCCAAGAAAGAAGTCGCGGAGCGGACCTTGCTCGCCTTCTTTGCAGTACCTTGTCGAGCTAATCTTGCTCGCCAAGAAGGAAGTCGCGGAGCGGACCTTGCTCGCCTTCTTTGGAGTTCCTTGCCGGGCTGATGTTGCTCGCCAAGAAGGAAGTCGCGGAGCAGACCTTGCTCGCCTTCTTTGGAGTTCCTTGCCGAGCTGATCTTGCTTGCCAAGAAGGAAGTCGCGAAGCAGACCTCGCTCGCCTTCTTTGGAGTTCCTTGCCGAGCTGATCTTGCTCGCCAAGAAGGAAGTCGCCGAGCGGACCTTGCTCACCGACCTTGGAGTTCCTTGCCGAGATGATGTTGCTCGCCAAGAAGGAAGTCGCGGAGCAGACCTTACTCGCCTTCTTTGGAGTTCTTTGCCGAGTTAATGTTGCTCACCAAGAAGGAAGGCGCACAGCAGACCTTGCTCGCCTTCTTTGGAGTTCCTTGCCGAGCTGATCTTCCTCGCCAAGAAGGAAGTCGCGGAGCGGACCTTGCTCACCTTCTTTGGAGTACCTTGCCGAGCTAATCTTGCCCGCCAAGAAGGAAGTCGCGGAGCGAACCTTGCTCGCCTTCTTTGGAGTTCCTCGCCGAGTTGATGTTGCTCGCCAAGAAGGAAGTCGCGGAGCAGACCTTGCTCGCCTTCTTTGGAGTTCATTGCCGAGCTGATCTTGCTCGCTAAGAAGGAAGTTGCGGAGCGGACCTTGATCGCCTTCTTTGGATTTCCTTGCCAAGCTGCTGTTGCTCGCCAAGAAGGAAGTCGCGGAGCGGACCTTGCTCGCCAACCTTGGAGTTCCTTGCCGAGCTGATGTTGCTCGCCAAGAAGGAAGTCGCGGAGCGGACCTTACTCGCCTTCTTTGGAGTTCTTTGCCGAGCTAATGTTGCTCACCAAGAAGGAAGTCGCGCAGCAGACCTTGCTCGCCTTCTTTGGAGTTCCTTGCCGAGCTGATCTTCCTCGCCAAGAAGGAAGTCGCGGAGCGGACCTTGCTCGCCTTCTTTGGAGTACCTTGCCGAGCTAATCTTGCCGGCCAAGAAGGAAGTGGCAGAGCGAACCTTGCTCGCCTTCTTTGGAGTTCCTTGCCGATTTGATGTTGTTCGCCAAGAAGGAAGTCGCAGAGCGGACCTTGCTCGCCTTCTTTGGAGTTCCTTGCCGAGCTGATCTTGCTCGCTAAGAAGGAAGTTGCGGAGCGGACCTTCATCGCCTTCTTTGGATTTCCTTGTCGAGCTGCTGTTGCTCGCCAAGAAGGAAGTCGCGGAGCGGACCTTGCTCGTCGTCCTTGCAGTTCCTTGTCGAGCTGATGTTGCTCGCCAAGAAGGAAGTCGCGGAGCGGACCTTGCTCGCCTTCTTTGGAGTTCCTTGCCGAGCTAATGTTGCTCACCAAGAAAGAAGTCGCGGAGTGGACCTTGCTCGCCTTCTTTGGAGTTCCTTGCCGAGCTGATCTTGCTCGCGAAGAAGGAAGTCGCGAAACGGACCTTGCTCGCCATCTTTGGATTTCCTTGTCGAGTTGATGTTGCTTGCTAAGAAGGAAGTCTCGGAGCGGACCTTGCTCGCCGACCTTGGAGTTTCTTGCCGAGCTGATGTTGCTTGCCAAGAAGG